AATAATAATAATAATAATAATAATAATAATAATAATAATAATAATAATAATAATAATAATAATAATAATAATAGTAAGAATAATAACATTAATAGTAAATCTATCCCATCCGTTGAATCATCAACAAAAACATCAACAAAAACATCAACAAAAAAATCATCAACAAAACCATCAATACCATCATCATCATCATCATCATCATCATCATCAAGTAATAATAGTCGAGCAATTAAAATTTCTCCAATTACAAAATCATCATCACAATCATCACAATCATTGCCACGACCATCATCATTACAAAAAGAAATTACAGATGATTCTTATTCATCATCATCTTCAGCATCTACTATGAAACCATCAGCATCTACAGTAACCAATAAAATCAAAAATCATTATAGTCATTTATTTAATGATACAATATTTGATAATAATAGTAATAGTAGTAATAATAATAGTAATAGTAATAATAATAATATTTCAGAAAAGAAACATTATCTTAAGCGTATGGAATCAGCACCTGCCATAACTACACCTACTATTGATATTGATGAAATAAATCCAATAACAGCAACTCAATCTTTAATAAATTTATCAAAGTATAATAACAATAATAATAATAATAATAATAATAATAATAATAATAACAATAATAATAATAATGATAATGATAATACAGAGAAAGAATCAAGTACTGAAACACCTAAACAATATCTTGAAAGATTACAATATACTCTTTCAAAATCAAAATTGGCTACCATGTTGGCTAAAAGGTTATTTTGATATTTTAATATATTTTGATATTTTGATATTTTTTGATATTTTTGATAATATTAATTTAACTGATTATTAATAAATAATATTGATGATATTCTTCTCACTAGATCCAATGCATTTCATCAATCAGCTCTTAAGGCTTACATGGAAATATTTGATTTTGAAAAGAATCCAATTGATATTGCATTGAGGTAATTAATTAATTATTAAAATCATTTCACTGTAAAGAGAGAATGAGAGTTATGTTTTTTAATAATATAATAATAATAATAATAATAATAATAATAATAATAATAATAATAATAATAATAATAATAATAATAATAA